GATTAGCCATAGCAACTGAATTTGAACAAAAATTATAACGATTGTATTCTGTAAATATACAATAATTCTCTTATCATTGCCTCATTTTAGCATCTACTACAGCTTGGATGTTCAAGGAATGGAATCCCTTCTTGCACACGTAAACGTGTTCATCATCAGATGACATTCCTTGGATAGGAATTAGAGTACCATCAATGGCGCCTACAACATTTGGTACCTGTGCCATGTCATAAAATTCCTCCTTGATCCTTCTCAATTCTTCTGTATCATTTGGAAATAAAATATTGTCCATATTGTTACAGATGGAATTACAAACGGCTGATATTGATCGTGAAACTGAAGGTTTGGTGACTCCATGGATATCTTCAGTTTCGGACTGGAAATCTCCTTTTGCGAGGAAACGCAAAGTCACCAAAACCTGAAAAAGATGTGCGCAGATACAGACTACGAGCAATCAAAAGACATTAAGGAAAATTTATATATTTTGGAGTTATATCTAGTCATAAATATTCATGTGTGAAGGCCTACAGTCTGAATATACAAACTTTTTGAACATTCTTGATCGGTAAATAAGGAAACTCATCTTTAATCTACATGAGATGAAATCGGGTAATGAATATTTTACTATAAATTTATAAAATGATTGACCGATAGGTGTTTGTATATTATGTAATAATCATTGCACATGCATCAAATGCTGTATTTTGGTAAGTAGGCCTACGTGACTCGATATGCGCGTGCTAATTTATAGAACTTATACCATCCCAATTATTTCCAAGATAACTGCTCGTGGAAACCGGTACCTCGAAATGAGTTGGTTGTCATCGAGAGTTTCAAGATCGTTCGACCTGTCGCGAAAAACTCTCTCTCGTTGTAAATTACGGCGGTATGCATTTTGCAATAAAATCAATGCATCCATTTTGGAATTAAAAGTTCGCAGACGACTTCTAACGAGTACCATACTGTGCACGTTATTTAACGCATAACTTTAATCGTAATTTAACGTTACGAATTTTTTAGAAACACGTTTTAGACGGTAAATAACGTTACGATTTTTTTAACGTCTAACGTTATTTTACGTATTTCACAAAACGTTATTTAACGAAAGAATTTTCTAGAAATACATTTTTACGTTAAATAACGTTTTTCTTTATTTAACGTGCAAGATTAGTCGTACGAATTTTTGAGAAACGGGGTCCAGACGCTGATTACGGGTAAATACTTTAATAGGCCTGTCATCCACTTCCAAGATTTGGACAACAATGATAGGTTCGGTTGCCATGTTGCAAATGACTGGCCAAAGACAAGTGACTGCGCTTTTTAGAGGCGGGAAATTGAAAAAAGGGCTTTGGATTGGATAAAAAAGATCACGTGGTATTTATTTTTTAAACTTTTTTAATTCAACTTAAATCCATTAACTCTAATATATTGTCATTCATAAAAATGTTTCGCCATCTTCAAAAGACAAACAAGGAAAATGGTGATGGGCCCAAGCATGGACTAAACGATCGTTTTCGGTCAGATTAGATTGGAACACCGATAAAGCATGGGATGACGGTACGTGGAATAATTCCCGCAGACAGCACTTTGATTTCCTTGAATCCTCCGGGTATTGTGACGTAAGGGTCCTTGACGCCGCGCAAAGTCGGCAAAATCTTGGCCATACACTTCTAGGGAACATCCAAACGAGGTTTTTCGAATCTCAATTCCAAAGACAAACTTCCTGACGACTTGGGATGAAAATTGACTTGATCAGCTCCGTGGTCATTGGTCAAATCAAATCCAAAGAGTGTGTAGCCTTTAAAGGGGTCTAGATTGTTTTAGAT